TAAAAAGACAGCGGCATCAGGGTGAACTTCTACAGTCAACACTCACAACCAAATCCCAACGTCAGTTTTGAATAAATGTATTTTTTTTAATTAAATTGATGCATGCTGTTTGCATTTTGCTCATTCCTGACCTGTGAGTCTGCACAACAGCCAAAATACTGTCTTTAGTTATTAACGTCTGAAATGATGAACGCACTTGAAAACTAACACAAAATTAGCTGCCTGACCAGAAAAACAAAAACCTTCCAGCAGTACTTAAGGTTTTGTGGTGGCACAAACCCTCTTTACCCTTTTCCTCCCAGGCTTCTAGACTTCTGATTGGCCAACATTTAGTTTTTAGTGTTTACATGCGGACAGAGATATTTTTTCAAAACTGCACGAGTGGACGGGATTTAAAAAAAACAAAAACAAAAACACCCGTTCAAGTGTGGACGTAGCGTGACTGCACTCAGAGTCCAGCCTCGCAGAGTCGCTGTAGTACGGTGGTCACGCTGAAAAATGGCACAAACGCCAACCTTGCAATTATATAAGAACAACTAGAATAAAAACAGCTGGTAGCCAGCTGAGTCCACTGAAATTAAAAGCGGTCGCTGAAGGTTGAAGGTATTTCTCAACTCAAACTCAGGCGGACAAACTGCAAAAAAAATTCAACGTAATCACTGAGCAACCACCAATTTTTCCTAGTCGCTAAGCAGTTCCCTCCTGATTTTACTCCATATGACTGAGACATTACTGGCTTTACATTATGCAGACCAAATGTGCAAGGAAGCGAATGCCTCCTCTGACTGCTGTTTTGTCTCTGGTGTCTTTTACTCTCAGTGTTTACTGTAAACATTTTACAACTTTATCGCTGCTTCAACACATCAGAATGAGACCTTAAGCAGACCTAAGAGCTCGAAACATCCCTGCACTGCTTTTAAACACTAAACATTACTTTCACCTTGCTGCAGTGTCGCAGCTCTGTTTGGCTAAGTGTCTTATTAAACTCCCCCTGACAGGGAGGAACATTTACTTCTTTAATATTTGGTTTG